CCCATGTCCCCTGCATTGGCAGGCAGACTCTCAACCACTGCACCACCAGGGAAGCCCTGATTAACTTTTTAATTAGTCTTTAATCAGAGTTGATGAATGATAGTTAAGGAAACAATAGGCCAACCAAAGAGTTTAAAAGGAAAACTGGGAATGTGATGTCCTTAGGGGTTTTGGAAAGCTCCAACACATTCCTAGGAATCTAGAAGGCCAAGTGCTTATGCAGGACTGTGTGCTAACTCAGGGAAGATATAAAAGGGCTCTAAACTTTTACCTCTGGTTAACCTTGAGGTTCCGTGGAAGCAGGAAGTGAAGACTAAGACAGAGAAGTCAACTGCCTGGCTGAGTGTTGAACACATGCCCCAACCTGCACATAGAGCGTTTGGCAATGACTAGGAAATTTAGTGGTTCCAGAAATTTATGAAATCTTTGTTCTCTCATTACTGCACATTAATTTAACTGAACAGAGACATAAGTGGCCCTACATAACAAAGAATACAGACTTTCAGAGTTCAGAAACTTTTCAGAGTTACTCCACTAAACAAACAAAAAATAATAACGGCTATAATAAAACAGGGGTGGGGTGGAATCAGATTTCCAGAGTTCTACATTATGTTATTTAAAATGTTCAGTTTTCAACAGAAGTTATAAGTCATGCAAAGATATAAAGTGTGGCTAATATGCAGGAAACAAAGCAAACAATAGAGACTGTCCCCAAGGAAGCCCAGGCATCAGACTTACTAGACAAAGACTTTAAATCAACTATTTCAGTATGTGCAAAGAACTAGAGGAAACCATGTGAAAAGAACTAAAGGGAAGTATGAGAACAGTGTCTCATTAATAGAGAATATTAATAAAGAGAAATTATAAAAACTAAACAGAAATTATGGAGTAGGAAAGTACAATATCAAATTAAAAATTCAAGAGCAGATTTGAGCAGGCAGAAGAAAGAATCAGTAAACTGGAATATAGGTCAGTTGAGATTATCCAGTCTGAGGAACGCAATGAAGCTAAAGATGAAGAAAAATGAATAGTGCCTAAGAGACCTGTGGGATACCATCAAGCATGCAAGCAACAAATAATAGGGAGTTCCAGATGAGAGGAGAAAGAAAGTAGAAAGTATTTAAAGATATGGCTGAAAACTTCCCAAATTTGATGAAAAATGTTAATTTGCACATCCAGAAGCTCAGTGAGCTGCAAGTAGGATAAAGTCAAAGGAGTTCCATTTCAAGACACTTTATAATCCAACTTGAAAGCCAAAGACAGAATCTTGAAAGCATCAAGAGAGAAGCAACTCATCATGTACAGGACAACCCCAATGAGATTAATGGTTGATTTCTCATAAAAAACCATGGAGCCCAAAAAGGAGTGGGCTGATGTATTGAAGGTGTGGGAAGAAAAAGATTGTCATCAAGAATTCTATATCTAGCAAAATGAAGGAGAAAATTAAGACATTCCCAGATTAACAAAAGCTCTAAGAATTTGTTGCTAGTAGACGTACCCTACAAAAAATACTAAAGAGAGTCTTTCAGATTGATATGAAAGGACATTAGACAGGAACTTGAATCCACGTGAAGAAGTAGCACCAGTAAAGTAACTACATGGGTGTATATAAAAGGCAAAATAAATGAATTGTTTGTAACTCCTTTTTTCCTACGTGATTTAAAGGACAACTGCATAAAACAATAATTGTGACTCTCCATTGGGTACATAATGTATGAAGAAGTAATTTGTATGACAATAACAGCATGAATGAGAGGGGCATAAAATGGAGCTATACAGGAGCTAAGTTTTTTGATACTATTAACTTGATATTAATCAAAACTAGATTGTCATAAATTAAGATTTTATCCGGTAATCCCCAAGGCAACCACTAAGAATTAAAAGAATATACAGTTGAAGAAATGACAAGGGAATAGGACACAAGAAAATACTTAATACAAAAGAACCAGAGGAATAGAAGGAAAAATGCATAGAAATAAGCAAAATGACATATGTAAATCCTATCTTATCAGTTGTATTAAATATATATGGATTAAACACTCCAATGAAAAGGCAGAGATTGGCAGAAGGGATTAAAAATATCCAAGTATATGCTCTTTACAATAGACACATTTTAGATTCAAAGATACAGGTTGAAAATAATAGAATGGAAACATATACCATGCAAACAGCAACCAAGAGAGAGCTAGAATGACTATGCTAATAACAGACAAAATAGACTTTAAGACAAAAAGTGTTACTAGGGACAAAGAAGGATATTTTATAATAATAAACAGATCAATCCATCAAGAAGATCTAAAAAATTATAAATGTATACGGACCTAATAACAAAGCAACAAAATGCATGAAGGGCTGACAAAATTGAAGTTCAACAATAGTTGGAGGCTTCAAAAAAATGCAGACTCTTGAGTTCCAGTTGCATGACCAAGGCTGCATGACCCTAGGTTAGTTGTTTAACCCCTCTCTCATATCTAAAATGGAGATGAGGACCTACTTCATGGGGTTGTTATATAGATTGACTGGAAACACAAAAAGCACCTATTCCTGACATGTGGTGAGCACTAATTCAGTGTCATATCATTATCCCCATTTAACGGTGGAGGAAACTGAGGCCTACATAGGCAAAGTGAGTTGTCCAAGCTAGTAGATGGTGAAGCTGGGAATCAAAGCTAGGCCTACTGATGCCAAAACACCTTCTAATGACTCCTGTTCTGCCTGGGACTGTGGGGTCTTTGTTTCAGGCAGCTGTGTCTGAGACGCTGGTCCTCCTGTAAAGCCTCCCAGATGACCCTGGGCACACAGACATGGAAACAGTACTATCTCTGCTGATCCAAGCTGGAGTTCCAAATGGAATCTGGGTGGCCAGAGAAGGACTTTATCTGCAAAGCCATTGCTGGGCACAAAGGTATGGGGTGGGGAAGGTGGTAACTGTGCATTCCCACTCTTTCCCTGGTCAGATCTCCAGGGATTTGGTTTTTCAGCAAATTAGTTGGAAAATGCCACACAATGAGGACATACTCTGCTATGTTCTATACCTCTGTTATCATTTGATCCTAACAGAGATCATTACATCTATTTCAGAGTAGAAAGAAACAGAAACTAAGAGATAAGGATGTTGTAAGTGTTGTTCACAGTAACATGGCTGGTGGGTGGTAAGCAGTCCTAGGCATGATACCCAAATTGTACGTCTGAAGTCCCAGCTCTTTCTGTCCACCACTGTCCCCAGAATCAGCACCTGTCATGCTCCTGAGAGAGAAAAGGAATGACTTGCCTGCCTCCCCTTCACTAAGTTGAATGTTCACATCCCAGGCATCCATGTTTGTGCTTAAGGCAAGTCTGTGTTCTCTTTCAGGACAGATAGATGAGCTGGCCTACATCTCAACCAAAGAGTACTGGTTTGATGGGCGGGAGAAGTCCATGGTGTGCGCCGTGTCGTCAGATGGCACCGTGTGTGCCTGGGATCTGCAAGAGGTGAGCTGTCCAGGAGGGAGCCAGGATGAGAAGTGACCAGATCCTGCTATGTCCTCAGTCTTAGCAAGGCCCTTTGCCTTTATTCTTTACCATCACAGCCAACTTGTGAGGTGAGGAGTGGGAGCCCTATTGTACAGATGAGAAATCTGAGCTGCAGGAGGCTCAGTCGCTGTGCCAGGTCACACTTCAGACTTGAGTCTGATTGATCGCAAATGCCCTTGACTTTCTGCTGTCCTGCCTCAGGGAGATGGGCATTTTTGCAGTGCCTGATGGAGGCTGTTTATGCAAGGGGATTGACAGCTGCCATGCCCAGTTCTGTGCTGTCCACATTGGAGCCAATGCCAGCCTCTGGGTGGTTTTGCCCAGATAATGCAGCTTTTACTCACCCCACTTGCAAACTTAAGTGTTAAAGCCTCGATAACTTGGTTGGTACTAATTGTTAAAAGCTTTCCTATCCATTTTCATATTCTCTGATTGCTCTTTTTTGTTGTTTAAAGGATACAGTTATTTGCCTCATATGTCTTTCCTCCATGGTCAGTTTTTTCATTTGTTTATGTTTTTTTCCTCTTCCACGTGCTTTATTTTCCTCATATACATTGTGATGTTTGACATTATAATTTCGAGTGAAGGTTTCTGGTGACTGATGGGTGCAGGTGGCTGGTTTCTGTTTCATTGCAGTTGGGTTGCCCTGACCCACCTTATGCTGTGGACATGAGACCACACAGGCTTAGATGAGGGGCTCTCGGGCAGGAAGAAGACCTGAAGGCTGGGAGGTTCCATAGTTGCCAAAACAAAAAGGTCTTGACTTGAACATAAAGAGCTTTGGTGCTGGGGTGGCAGACCTTTTCTGTAAAGGGCCAGAGAGCAAATATTTCAGGCTTTGCAGACCACGTGGTCCTGTTGCAACTACTTAACTATGTGGCTGAAATGCAGAAGCAGCTGTATACAAGTAAACAAAAAGGGAGTGGCTGTGTTCCAATAAAACTGTACTTATGGACACTCACATGTGAGTTTCTTGTTTTTTTCATGTGTCATGAAATATTCTTTGATTTTTTTTTTAACGAAAATACAAAAATGGTCAGTGGGCTGGGTTTGGCTGCAGGCCATGGTTTGTTGAACTCTAGTGTGGTCCATTGGTCACAGTGTGGGACTGTTAGACAGGGCTAGACCCCTCGGCACCTATTCTGCCTGGCTTCCCAATCTTAATCCTCTTTGTGAACACATCTCCAATCTTATTTTATTTTTAAAAAGCTCAATCATTTTGTTGGAGTCATGCAGTATGTAGCCTGTTTCTGAACTCTGTTTCCCTGGTTGCTACTTCCTATTCTGAAATGGGAAGGGGAGTTTCACTGCTTCTTTACCCACTTCCATACTACTAGCCACTGGCGAATAATGTGTATTCTCCGAGACCTACTTGACATGAGCCAGTCACCGGTGCTGAGTCCCTACTAGTAATAGTCTTGTTAGCTGTTTAAGCAACAGAAATCAACTGTTGATTTGCTGATGTGAGGGGGAAGAAAGAAAAGAATGGAAGAATACTGGGATATCATGATTGGAAAAAGATCATGCTAACGTGATAACACCTGATAGAAAAAGAACCATAATAACTCCAAATTGGAAACAAACCCCATGTGGCAACTCTGAGAAACTCAGAAACAGCAATTAGAGGATTGGTTCTCTGATGCCCTGTCCTAATGTGCTGTGGGCCTGCTGGACCCGGGCTCTTACCTCGCTGTTCTAGCTTTCAGAATCGTGGGAGAGACCATGTATCTGGGAATCAGCCCATCTCGGACCAGTCATTTTCCTCTGTGCTAATGGCCGTGACAGGGCATGGGCCTTCGCCAGGCCTGGCCCGCGGTGGCACTGCTGGGCACACCACTGGGAAGGGCATGTTCTGAGCAGGGCAGTTGTAGATATGCAACAAAAACTGTTTACAACTACAAGGCTGAATTAGCTTATCTGTAAACCTGGGTTCCTTGGGGACCAAGTGAGATGCTCCACGTGGAAATTCTCTTTATGCAGCCCTGCACAGCCCAGGTCCTGAGTACAGCCCAGGTCCCCAGCACAGCCTGGGTCCCAAGCACAGCCCAGATCCTGGGCAGGGTGGGTAGTGTTGGGTCCTGCCTCCCTGCCCAGCCTTCTTTAGTTGAGCCATAGGTAACCACTGGGAGTGCTTCAGACATCCTGTGCCCAGTGCACATGAAGGACCCCACCCTCAGTCCCCCTGCAATGGCACCAACCCCAGGCAGTCTCAACACCCATGCTCAGCCACTGCTCTCCTCCAGGACACACCTGTCTCCTCTGTGGTAGAACATTGCTCCTGTGTTGTGTTCCCTACCATGCTGTGCAGCCTGTGAGGATGGGGATCACATCCTTTACACCTGCACATCCCCTGTGTGCACTGGGTGATGGTCAAATGAATGAAAATAATAAGCATTTAGGAAATAAATGGGCCCTATGTGAGTTGTTACGTTAATTTTGTTGTTGCCTAGGGCACGGAGCTCTGTCGAGCCCTCTACAGCCTGCAGCTTTGGTGAATTTGGTGACTTACCCTCGGCTGCAACTGGCTGTCACCGTGGATGAGCGGGGACTGATCAAAGTATGGAAAGCAGAGAACGGGTGTAAGCAAGCCTCCTGCCTGCCTACATACTCGTCTTCATTGGAGGCCTGTGACTTTCCGGAAGGCCCCCGCCTGCTGGTGAGTGACCCAGCTCTCAGGAACCTCTGCTGTTTCCCAGGGTCTGTGGACCTGGCACCAGACCGCTGTGCCAGGTGGCACTTCAAGCCAGGCCCTCCACATGGCAGACCAAGTGACCAAGTAATTCTGCTCAGTCCCCCAAGCTCCTCCTTGCCTGCCACATGGAGGGCAGACTCCTCATCCCCCTTTGGCTCTAGTGTGCCACAGCCTGTTCCCTGGCCCCATCTCTGCAGCCTCTCACCCTCTCAGAGGTCCAGCCCTGTGGGCTGCCTGTGTTTTCTTGTCCACGGGCCCCTGCTTTCCTGTCTCCTGGTCCTACTCATAGTCTTTCTTCTCCTTGCAGTTCCTTCTCACTACTGCATTCTCACCCTTCTTTCCCCCTTTTCAAGTCTCCACAAGGGCCCAACTGAAAGGAAAACTGAGGCATATTCGACAGAATGCAAGCATTTGCTCCAGATGATGAAGGCCTTCTGTTGCCAGGACATTTGTTTTAGAGGTGATTCTTGGGCATTGGGAGGGAGCATTTGGCCAGAGAGAAATGGCAAAAGTGGGTGTTAGCTGGCAGATTGAGGGAGTGGCTCTCACCTGGGGGCAGTATCCTCCTCCTGGAGGGAAGGAGGTCTTTGAAAGCATGGGCAAACTGGCATCGCAAATATCAAGATGAGCAGACATCCGGGAACAGTTTCATATGTAAACAGAACTAATTCTGTAAAAGAACTAAGCTCGTAAACAAAAAGGTAAAACCTGATGAAACAGATTTCACATAAACAACTCTAGTTGTTTAAAGAAGACTTTGGAATAAGTGTAATTAACATCTCCAGAGCAATTTGAGAATATATTGTATAGATGAAGAGGAATCCACTAAGGTTCTGTCTTGGGAATGGAAGAGCACATGATTCACACATACTTGTCAGTGAAGGACAATTAGAAAAATTAGAAAATATATCAAGTAAGAGAGCTAAAAAGAGCAAACGGTTTCTAGGCCAAGATTCAGAAGATGGCAGAAATCAAAGTGCTGAGCCTAAAAATGGGGCTGCTTTTGCCCTGGAGATGTTTACTACAAAGCTAAGGGGCTGAGCAGAGCTTTAATAGCCAAGTAGACAAAAGTTGGACTGCAGGGCCACCAAGGAATGGAGCCCTGTGAATCCTCTTACATTGGGGTGGGTTATCAAGTTGCAACCTAAGAGTGAGGGTGGTCTGAAAGTAAACAGTCCCTGCACTGGCTGCCCAGTTACTGGGTGGGAGTAAATGAAAATCCTTTCTGGAGAAGGTTAACAACTCCCAAGGCCTCTCTTTTCAAATACAGTGTGCAGGACTCACTTAGAGATAAGTAGACACATGAGGTAAGATGATATGAACTACCCAAGGCAATCTACAGATTCAGTGCAATCCCTATCAAACTACCATTGGCATTTTTCACAGAACTAGAGCAAAAAATTTTTTAATTATATGGAAACACAAAAGACCCCGAATAGCCAAAGCAATCTTGAGAAAGAAAAATGGAGCTGGAGGAATCAGATTCCCCGACTTCAGACTATACTACAAAGCTACATTAATCAAGAGAGTATGTATCCTGCTACTTTGCCAAATTCATTGATTAGCTCTAGCAGTTTTCTGGTAGCATCTTTGGGATTCTCTATGTATACTATCATGTCATCTGCAAACAGTGACAGCTTTACTTCTCTTCTGATTTGGATTCCTTTTATTTCTTTTTCTTTTCTGATTGCTGTGGCAAAAACTTCCAAAACTATGTTGAGTAATAGTGCTGAGAGTAGGCAACCTTGTCTTGTTCCTGATCTTAGTGGAAATGCTTTCAGTTTTTCACCATTGAGGACGATGTTGGCTGTGGGTTTGTCATATATGGCCTTTATCATATTGAGGAAAGTTCCCTCTATGCCTACATTCTGCAGGGTTTTTATCATAAATGGGTGTTGAATTTTTTTATTTTGGGGTGTTGAATTTTGTCGAAAGCTTTCTCTGCATCTATTGAGATGATCATAAGGTTTTTCTCCTTCAATTGGTTAATATGGTGTATCACGTTGATTGATTTGCGTATGTTGAAGAATCCTTGCATTCCTGGAATAAACCCCACTTGATCATGGTGTATGATCCTTTTAATGTGCTGTTGGATTCTGTTTGCTAGTATTTTGTTGAGGATTTTTGCATCTATGTTCATCAGTGATATTGGCCTGTAGTTTTCTTTCTTTGTGACATCTTTGACTGGTTTTGGTATCAGGGTGATGGTGGCCTCTTAGAATGAGTTTGGGAGTGTTCCTCCCTCTGCTATATTTTGGAAGAGTTTGAGAAGCATAGGTGTTAGCTCTTCTCTAAATGTTTGACAGAATTCGCCTGTGAAGCCATCTGGCCCTGGGCTTTTGTTTGTTGGAAGATTTTAAATCACAGTTTCAATTTCAGTGCTTGTGATTGGTCTGTTCATATTTTCTATTTCTTCCTGGTTCAGTCTTGGCAGGTGGTGCATTTCTAAGAATTAGTTCCTTTCTTCCAGGTTGTCCATTTTATTGGCATAAAGTTGCTTGTAGTAATCTCTCACGATCCTTTGTATTTCTGCAGTGTCAGTTGTTACTTCTCCTTTTTCATTTCTAATTCTATTGATTTGAGTCTTCTCCCTTTTTTTTGTGATGAGTCTGGCTAATGGTTTATCTATTTTGTTTATCTGCTCAAAGAACCAGCTTTTAGTTTTATTGATCTTTGCTATTGTTTCCTTCATTTCTTTTTCATTTATTTGTGATCTGATCTTTATGATTTCTTCCCTTCTGCTAACTTTGGGGATGTTTTGTTCTTTGTTCTCTAACTGCTTTAGGTGCAAGGTTAGGTTGTTTATTTGAGATGTTTCCTGTTTCTTAAGGTAGGATTGTATTGCTATAAACTTCCCACTTAGAACTGCTTTTGCCGCATCCCATAGGTTTTGGGTCGTCGTGTCTCCATTGTCATTTGTTTCTAGGTATTTTTTGATTTCCTCTTTGATTTCTTCAGTGATCACTTGGTTATTAAGTAGTGTATTGTTTAGCCTCCATGTGTTTGTATTTTTTACAGATCTTTACCTGTAATTGATATCTAGTCTCATAGTGTTGTAGTCAGAAAAGATACTTGATATGATTTCAATTTTCTTAAATTTACCAAGGCTTGATTTGTGACCCAAGATATGATCTATCCTGGAGAATGTTCCATGAGCACTTGAGAAAAATGTGTATTCTGTTGTTTTTGGATGGAATGTCCTATAAATATCAATTAAGTCCATCTCGTTTAATGTATCATTTAAAGCTTGTGTTTCCTTATTTATTTTCATTTTGGATGATCTGTCCATTGGTCAAAGTGGGGTGTTAAAGTCCCCTACTATGATTGTGTTACTGTCGATTTCCCCTTTTATGGCTCTTAGTATTTGCCTTATGTATTGAGATGCTCCTATGTTGGGTGCAGAAATATTTACAATTGTTATATCTTCTTCTTGGATCGATCCCTTGATCATTATGGAGTGTCCTTCTTTGTCTCTTCTAATAATCTTTATTTTAAAGTCTATTTTGTCTGATATGAGAATTGCTACTCCAGCTTTCTTCTGATTTCCATTTGCATGGAATATCTTTTGCCATCCCCTCACTTTAAGTCTGTATGTGTCCCTAGGTCTGAAGTGGGTCTCTTGTAGACGGCATATATATGGGTCTTGTTTTTGTATCCATTCAGCCACTCTGTGTCTGTTGGTGGGAGCATTTAATCCATTTACATTTAAGGTAATTATCGATATGTATGTTCCTATTCCCATTTTCTTAATTGTTTTGGGTTTGTTATTGTGGGTCTTTTCCTTCTCTTGTGTTTCTTGCCTAGAGAAGTTCCTTTAGTATTTGTTGTAAAGCTGTTTTGGTGGTGCTGAACTCTCTCAGCTTTTGCTTGTCTGTAAAGGTCTTAATTTCTCCATCAAATCTGAATGAGATCCTTGCTGGGTAGAGTAATCTTGGTTGCAGGTTTTTCTCCTTCATCACTTTAAATATGTCCTGCCACTCCCTTCTGGCTTGCAGAGTTTCTGCTGAAAGATCAGCTGTTAACCTTATGGGGATTCCCTTGTGTGTTATTTGTTGCTTTTCCTTTGCTGCTTTTAATATGTTTTCTTTGTATTTAATTTTTGATAGTTTGATTAATATGTGTCTTGGCATGTTTCTCCTTGGATTTATCCTGTATGGGACTCTCTGTGCTTCCTGGACTTGATTAACTATTTCCTTTCCCATATTAAGGAAGTTTTCAACTATAATCTCTTCAAATATTTTCTCAGTCCCTTTCTTTTCCTCTTCTTCTTCTGTGACCCCTATAATTCGAATGTTGGTGCATTTAATGTTTTCGCAGAGGTCTCTGAGACTGTCCTCAGTTCTTTTCATTCTTTTTTCTTTATTCTGCTCTGCACTAGTTATTTCCACTACTTTATCTTCCAGGTCACTTATCCATTCTTCTGCCTCAGTTATTCTGCTATTGATCCCTTCTAAAGTATTTTTAATTTCATTTATTGTGTTGTTCATTGTTGCTTGTTTCCTCTTTAGTTCTTCTAGGTCCTTGTTAAATGTTTCTTGCATTTTCTCTATTCTATTTCTAAGATTTTGGGTCACCTTTACTATCATTATTCTGAATGTTTTTTCAGGTAGACTGCCTATTTCCTCTTCATTTGATAGGTCTGGTGGGTTTTTACCTTGCTCCTTCATCTGCTGTGTGTTTTTCTGTCTTCTCATTTTGCTTATCTTACTGTGTTTGGGGTCTCCTTTTTGCAGGCTGCAGGTTCGTAGTTCCTGTTGTTTTAGGTGTCTGTCCCCAGTGGCTAAGGTTGGTTCAGTGGGTTGTGTAGGCTTCCTGGTGGAGGGGATTAGTGCCTGTGTTCTGGTGGATAAGGCTGGATCTTATCTTTCTGGTGGGCAGGTCCACATCTGGTGGTATGTTTTGGGGTGTCTGTGGCCTTCTTATGATTTTAAGCAGCGTCTCTGCTAGGGCAGGGTTGTCTTACTGTCTTGGTAGTTGTTTGGCATAGGGTGTCCAGCACTGTAGCTTGCTGGTCATTGAGTGAAGCTGGGTGTTTGTGTTGAGGTGGAGATCTCTGGGAGATTTTCGCCGTTTGACATTACGTGGAGCTGGGAGGTCTCTTGTGGACCTGAAATCAGCTGAAGTTGGCTCTCCCACCTCAGAGGCACAGGAGCACCAAGAGCCTTTCATCCACATGGCTCAGAATAAAAGGGAGAAAAAATAGAAAGAAAGAAAGAGGATAAAATAAAATAAAGTTATTAAAATAAAAAATAATTATTAAGAAAAAAATTTTTTGAAAAATAAAAAGAAAACGGACTGACAGAACCCTAGGGCAAATGGTGAATGCAAAGCCATACAGACAAAATCTTACACAGAAGCATACACATACACACTCACAAAAAGGAAAAGGGGGAAAAATAATCTATCTTGCTCCCAAACTCCACCTCCTCAATTTGGGATGATTTGTTGTCTATTCAGGTATTCCACAGATGCAGGGTACATCAAGTTGACTGTGGAGATTTAATCTGCTGCTCCTGAGGCTGCTGGGAGGGATTTCTCTTTCTCTTCTTTGTTCGCACAGCTCCCGGGGTTCAGCTTTTGATTTGGCCCCACCTCTGCATGTAGGTGGCCTGAGGGCATCTGTTCTTCGCTCCGACAGGACAGGGTTGAACAGCTGATTCGCGGGCTCTGGCTCACTCAGGCCGGGGGTGGGAGGGGTACGGATGCTGGGCGAGCCTGCGGCGGCAGAGGCCAGTGTGACGTTGCAGCAGCCTGAGGCACGCCGTGCGCTCTCCCGGGGAAGTTGTCCCTGGATCACAGGACCCTGGCAGTGGCAGGCTGCACAGGCTCGCGGGAGGGGAGGTGTGGATAGTGACCTGTGCTTGCACACAGGCTTCTTGGTGGCAGCAGCAGCCTTAGCATCTCCTGCCTGTTTCTGGGGTGCGCGCTGTTACCGCGGGTGTCCGCGCTGTTACCGCGGCTCGTGCCCATCTCTGGAGCTCCTTTAAGCAGCTCTCTTAATTACCTCTCCTCGAGCACCGGGAAACAAAGAGGGAAGAGAAAGTCTCTTGCCTCTTCGGCAGGTGCAGACTTTTTCCCAGACTCCCTCCCTGCTAGCCGTGGTGCACTTACCCCTTCAGGCTGTGTTCACGCTGCCAACCCCAGTCCTCTCCCTGCGATCCGGCTGAAGCCGGAGCCTCAGCTCCCAGCCCCCACCCGCCCCGGTGGGTGAGCAGACGAGTGTCTCGGGCTGGTGACTGCTGGTCGGCACCGATCCTCTGTGCAGAAATCTCTCTACTTTGCCCTCCGCATCCCTGTTGCTGTGCTCTCCTCCGCAGCTCTGAAGCTTCCCCCCTCCGCCACCTGCAGTCTCCACCCGCGAAGGGGCTGCCTAGTGTATGGAAACCTTTCCTCCTTCACAGCTCCCTCCCACTGGTGCAGGTCCCATCCCTATTCTTTGGTGTCTGTTTTTTCTTTTGCCCTACCCAAGTACGTGGGGAGTTTCTTGCCTTTTGGGAGGTCTGAGGTCTTCTGCTGAGGTCAGCATTCAGTGGGTGTTCTATAGGAGCAGTTCTACGTGTAGATGTATTTCCGATGTATCTGTGAGGAGGAAGGTGATCTCTGTCTTACTCTTCCGCCATCTTCCTCAACTCTAAAGGGTAGTCTTTCCAACAAATGGTGCTGTCGAAAATGGATATCTGCATAGAAAAGAATGACATTTGATCCTTACCTTACACCATATACAGAATTGACTCAAAATGGATCAATGACATAAATATAAGACCTAAAACAACAAAACTCTTAGAAGAAAACACAAGACAAAAGCTTCATGATATTTGATTTGGTAATGACTTCTTAGAAAACAGTTAGTACTGACAATGATGTGGTGAATTTGGCATGCTTGTGCACTGTCAGTGGGAATTTAAAATGGTACAGCTACAGCTACAATGGAAAAAAGTATGGAGGTTCCTTAATAAATTAAAAGTAGAATTACCATATTACCTAGAAATTCCACTTCTGGATATATACCAAAAACAAAGTAGGGTCTTGAAGAGATATTTGTACACTCACATTCCTAGCAGCATTATTCATATTATTTAAAACATGGATGTAACTCAAGTGCCCATCAAATGATGAATGAATAAGCAAGATGTGGTATATACTTACAATGGAATATTTCATTGTTTTATTCTAAAAACTTCATTTTTAGGAAGGAAATTCTGCAATATGCTACAACATAGTCAAACCTTGAATACATTATGTTAAGTGAAATAAACCAGGAACAAAAAGACAAAAACTGTATAAGTCCAGTGATATGAGGCATTTACAGTAGTCAAAATCAAAAAGACAGAACATATAATGGTGGTTGCCAGAGGCTGGGGGAATGGAGAAGTTGAGTTGTTTAATAGGTATACAGTTTCAGATTTACAATGAAAAGAGTTATAAGGATGGATGGTGGAGATGGCTGCACAACAATGTGAATGTATTTAGTACCACTGAACTGAATGCTTACAAATTATTAATATGGTAAACTTTATGTTAGATATATTTTAACTCAATAAAAAAGAAAGGTTAGGGCTTCTCTGGTGGCGCAGTGGTTGAGAGTCCGCCTGCCGATGCAGGGGACACGGGTTCGTGCCCTGGTCCAGGAAGGTCCCACATGCTGCGGAGCGGCTGGGCCCATGAGCCATGGCTGCTGAGCCTGCATGTCCGGAGCCTGTGCTCCGCAACAGGAGAGGCCACAACAGTGAGAGGCCCACGTACCACACACAAAAAAAAAAAAGAAAAAAAAAGAAAGAAAGTTTAAAAAAAAAAGAAAGAAAAAAAGAGACATCACTGAAAGCTAACATGAAACAAAGCTGTGTCTGGGTCCCACTCTGCATCCTGTCTGGGTTTGCAGGCATCACAGAAACCCATCTGGGTACTTGGCAAGTTTGAGAATAGGATGTGGGCACCTGTAGGAAAGTTCAATGTGTTGGTGACAAATGCTTCCCTGCCACTTGGAAGGGCACCTCATATTGGGTATAATGAATTAAATGGTGCCCCCACTGAATATGTCCATGTTCTAATCCCTGGAACCTGTTAGTGTGACATTATTTTGGAAAAGGGTCTTTGCATATGTAATTATATCAAAAACTTATTTGCAATCATTCTAGATTATCCAGGTGGGCCCGAAATCTAATGACAAGTGTCCTTATAATAAGAGGAGAAGACACCGACAGAAAGGAGGAGAAAGACCATGTGAAAATGGAGGCAGAGATTGGAGTGAGCAGCCACAAGCCAAGGAATGCCAACAGCCATTCGCTGAAGTTGGAAATTGCAAGGAAAGGAATCTTTTCTAGAGTCTCTGGAGAGATCATGGCCCTGCAAACACCTTGATTTTGGACTTCTGGCCTCCAAAACTGTGAGAAAATAAATTTCTGCTCTTTTAAGCCAAAAAAGAAAGAAAGAATGGCTGATAACTTCCCAATCTGGACATACAAGTTCATGAAGCTAATAGGTCAACACCAAATATCAACCCAAAATGATCTTCTCAAAGACAGACTATTAAAAAACTGTGTAAAATCAAAGACAAAGAGAGAATTTTTAAAACTGTCAAGAGAAAAACAAACCCTCACATAATAAAGGAACCCCCAGTAAGTCTATCAGTGGATACTCAGTGGAAACCTTGCAAGCGAGGAGAGAGTGGGATGAAAAATTCAAAGCGCAGAAAGAGAAACACTGCCAAAGAAGTTTACCCAGCAAAGCTATCTTTCAAAAATAAAGAAGAGATGTTTGTTCTCAAACAAAAGCTGAGGGAGCTATTCTACACTAGACCTGCCTCACAAAAAATGCTGATAGGATTTCTTCAAGCTGAAAGGAAATGATGGTAATTACTAACATGAGAACGTATGAAAATATAAAACATTCTGGGTAAAGGTATGTATATAGACAAATTCAGAATATTGTAATACTGTAATACAGTGTTGTGTTAATCACTTTAGTATAAAGGTTAAAGGATAAAATTATTAAAAATGACAATAATAATAATTTGTAAAAATATACAATATACAAAGAGGTAAAATTTGCCATCAAAAACATAAAATGTGGGGTGGGGGAGTAAAAGGGTAGCATTTTTGTATGCAATTGAAGTTAAGTTGTCATCAACTTAAAATAAACTGTTACATCTATGTTTTATGTAAGGTTCATGGTAACCACATAGCAAAAACCTACAATAGATACATAACAGTTAAAGAGAAAAGAATCAAAGCTTACATTACAGAAAAGCATAAATTCACAAAGAAAGCAAGAGAGGAAGAAAGAACAATGGAACTACAAGAGTCAGAAAAATATTAATAAGATGGCATTAGTAAGTCCTTACCCATCAACAGTTATTTTAAATATAAATGGATTAAATTCTCCAGTCAAAAGGCAGAGGAGCTGGATTTTTTTAAAAAAAGATCCAACGAAATGCTCCCTACAGAAAACTCACTTCAGGTTCAAAGACACATACAGACTGAAAGTGAAGGGGAAAAAAATATTTCCTGAAAATGCAAACAACATGAGACCATGGATAGTTATATCAGACAAACTTTATTTAACTTTTTAACATTTTTATTGGAGTATAATTGCTTTATAATGGTGTGGTAGTTTCTGCTGTATAACAAAGTGAATCAGCTATACATATACATACATCTCCAGATCTCCTCCCTCTTGCATCTCCCTCCCACCCCCCCTTAGCCCACCCCTCTAGATGGACACAAAGCACTGAGCTGATCTCTCTGTGCTATGTTCCTGCTTCCCACTAGCTATCTATTTTACATTTGGTAGTGTATATATGTCCATGCCACTCTCTCACTTCTTCCCAGCTTACCGTTCCCCCTCCCCATGTCCTCAAGTCCATCCTCTATGTCTGCATCTTTGACAAAGAGACTTTAACTCAAACACTGTAACAAGAGACAAAGAAGATCATTACATAATGATAAAGGGGTTGACTCACCAAGAGAATATAACAATAGTAAATTCATATGCACCCAACATTGGAGCACCCAAATATATTAACAGTGAAGAAGGCAGAAATAGACAACAATACAATAATAGTAGAAGACTTTACTATCCCACTTTTAACAATGAACAGACCATATAGACAGAAAATCAATAAGGAAACACTGGACTCAAACTATACTTTAGGCCAAATGGACCTAACAGACATATGCAGAATATTCCATCCAAGAGCAGTGGAATACATATTCTTCTCCAGTGCACAAGGAACATTCTCCAGGATAGATCATATGCTAGCTCACAAAACAATTCTCAGCAAGTTTAAGAAGACTGAATTGGTACCGAACAACTTTTCAAACCATGATGGTATGAAACTAGAAATCAATTAACAGGAGAAAAACTGAAAACCTCAGAAATATGTGGAAATTAAACAGCACACTCCTCAACAACCAGTGGGTCAAAGAACAAATCAAAACAGAAATGAAATATCTTAAAACAAATGAAAATGGAAACACAACACACTAAAACTTATGGGAAGCAGCAAAAGCAGTTCTAACAGAAGTTTGTAACAATATATGACTACGTTAAGAAAAAATAAATATCTCAAATAACCTAACTTCACACATCAAAAAATTTAAAGAAAAGAACAAGCTACATCCAAAGTTAGCAGAGGAAAGGAAACAACAAAAATCAGAGCAGAATCAAATGAAATAGAGACCAGAAAAACAATAGAAAAAAATTGAACAGCACATTAAAAGGATCATACACCATGATCAAGTGGAATTTATCCCTGTGCTGCAAGGATGGTTCAACATATGCAAATCAATAAATGTGATACACCACACTAATAAAATGAAAGATAAAAATATAATCACTGCAATAGATGGGGAAAGCATTTGATGAAACAAAATATCCTTTCATGATAAAAAAAAAAACTTCACAAATTGATTATAGAATACAGGTAATATTCAACAATCCTATAGCTAAAATCACACTCAAGAGTGAAAGGGTGAAAGCTTTTCCTCCAAGATCAGAAACAAGGAAACAAGACAAGGGTACCCAGAGTGGCACCACACATATTCAACATGATACCAGAAGTCCCAACCAGAGAAGTTAGGCAAAAATAAGAAATAAAAGGCATGCAAATCAGAAAGAAAGGAGTAAAACTATTTTCAGATTTATGGTCTCATAGATAGAAAATCCTGAAGACTCCATCAAAAACTGTTAGCACTAATTTTTAAAATTCAGTGAAGTTCCAGGATACAAAAATCAACATCCAGATATCAATTTCATTTCTATACACTAGCAACCAAATATCTGAAAAAGAAATAAAGAAAACAATCTTATTTATAATAGCATCCAAAACAATTAAATACTTAGGAACAAATTTAACCAAGGAGGCAAAAGATCTGTACACTGCAAACTATGAGACCTTGATGAAAGAATTTGACAAAGACACAAATAAATGGAAAGATACCCCATGTTCATGGATCAGAATTAACATTGTTAAAATATCCACACTACCCAAGGCCATCTACAGATTCAATGTCATTCCTATCAAAATTCCAATGGCATTTTTCACGTAAATAGAAAAAACAATCCTAAGATTCAAATGGAACCACAAAGACCACAACAAACCAAAGCAATCTTGACAAAGAATAAACAAAGCTGGAGTTACCACACTTCCTGTTTTCAAACCTTATTACAAAGTTATAGTAATCAAAGAGTATGGCATAAAAACAGACACATAAAACAATGGAACAGAGTAGACAGCCCAGAAATAAACCCACACATATACAGTCAATTATTATTTGACAAGGGAGCCAAGCATACTTACTGGGGAAAGGATAGTCTCTTCAAATAATGGTGTTAGGAAAACTGGATATCACATGTAGAAGATGAAGCTGAACTCTTAATTTACACCACTCACAAAAATTAACTTAAAATAGATTAAAGACATAAACATAAGACCTGAAACTGTAAAACTCCTAGAAGAGAACATAGGGTAGAAGCTCCTTGACATTTGTCTTAGTGATTTTTTGGATATGACATCAAAAGCACAAACAGCAAAAGCAAAAATTAAAAAATGGGACTACATCAAACTAAAAACCTGTACAGCAAAGAAACAATTCACAAAATGAAAAGACAACACATGGACTGAGAGTAATATTTGTAAACAAACTAATAAGGGGTTAATATCCAAACTACATAAGAAATTCATTTAACTCAACAGCAAAAAATCCAAGCAATTCAATTAAAAAATGGACAGACGATCTAAATAGACAGTTTTCCGAAGAACACATATAAATGACCAACAGGTGTATGAACAGATGCTCAACATCAACAATCATTAATGAAACACAAATCAAAACCACAATAAGATATCACTTCAAACCTATTAGAATGGCTATCATAAAAAAGACAAAAGATAAAAGTGGAGGAAAGGAATGCCTGTACACTGTTGGTGGGAATGTAAATTGGTGCAGCCATTATGCAAAACAGTATGCTCAAAAAATTAAAAAGAGAGCTACCGTATGATCCAGGAATCCCACTTCTGGGTATATAGCCAAAGGAAATGGAATAAAATTACTATCTCAAAGAAATATCTGCACTCCCATATTCACTGAAGCATTATTCACAATACACAAGATATGGAAACAACCTTAGTGTCCATCAACAGAAGAATGGTTAAAGAAGATGTGACAAATATATCTACATATATAGATATACACACAATGGAATATTATTTAGCCAAGAAAAAGAATGAAATCTTGCCTTTTGAGCAACATGGATTGACCATGAGGGCATTATGCTACGTGAAATAAATCAGAAAGACAAATACTGTGTGCTATCACTTATACATGGAATGTAACAAAGCTGAAACTCACATAAACAGAGTAGGATGGTAGTTGCCAAGGTCTAGGAATTGGGGGAAATGGGGACATGTTGATCAAATGGTGGAAACTTCCAGTTATAAGATGAATAAGTTCTGGGCATCTAACATACAGCATGGTGACTACAGTTAACTATACTGTATTATATACTTCAAAGTTGCTAAGAGAGTAGATCTTAAATGGCTTAACCACACACACACAAAAGTAACTGTGTGAAGGAATGGAAAAGTTAACTAACCCTACTGTGGTAATCATTTTGCAATTATGTATTTGTAGCAAATCATCACACTGTATACCTTAAACTCACTCAATGTTATATGTTAATTATTTCTCAATGAATATGGAATACAAAACAAAACTGCAGTCCACCATTGTTGGCTTAGTTGATCAGACTGGCATCCCAACACAGTCTATTGGAGGAAGCCTCTCCTCACTCACTTTTGGGAGTAGCCTCTGCCTTGTATATTAACTAGTTATTCTAGTCACTCCTAAGGTCACCAGTCTAAAAAGCAGGTATGTTGATCTCAGACAAAAAGAGACTGATGAGATGAATCTGTCCTGGCTAAGGTGCCAACTAGTGAATTATAGTCCTTTCAGACCTATACTATAGCACCTTTAAGCTACAGAAGGAGCTGAGAAGGACCTTAAGGACTACTGCTTCAAGATCCTATAACAATTTAAGTTGGAATACAGCATATGGTAGACACAGCACAAAGTGGCAGCAGCCAAAGTGCAAACGCACCAGGAACTAACAGTACCTTCTTAGGCAGAACTTGCTGTGTGGTAAAATCAGTTAGAAAGCCAAGAGCAGCCCAGAGGTAGGCCCCTCCATTGAACACTTGAGTCATTCTGCTCACTGTGCCAACTGTTCTAAAATTATGTCCAGGATTTAATTTATGGAGGTGACCAAGTGATGATACAGAGAATCCAATGCCTCTGAAACTCATTAGTTACATTTCCTGAAAGAAGGGGACATGCAACACCACACAGGGCTAGTGGGTAAGTACCAGGTTTGGTCACGAGGCACAAGCAGGAACAAGGAGAAAGCCTATGCCAGAGTGTTTATTGGAATTTTGACAGAAAATGTAAGGGAGGGCAGAGTAAACAATTTAGGATTGCTTAGTTTGAATAATTCTGGTGGGTTTTAGGCTATAGGTGTGGTCTCTAGTTGCCTGGTACCTGACCCTGGGACATTTTAGGTCAGGGGAAATATTGGCTTAGTGTGTAAGTTAGATAAACAGGGTAATTGAGGCTCTAGACTCCAGATTGGTTGGTTGATTTGCATATGAAAGACAAGCTCCCAGAGAGCCCTTTGCTAGCCCAGTGTGGGGCAGTCTCTCCCTGGCCAGACAGCTTTTTAAGATGTCAAAACATCACAAAATACAGAAAATGAAAACTTGATTAATACACTGCTGCTGCTCTACATGGCCGTTTGTCCACCAGGCTCACTCATCTCAAGACCCATATGCCAGGACC